CCCCAAAACCCCAAAACCCCAAAACCCCAAAACCCCGAGGACTCTCACTTTATTTGAATCAATAAAAAAATTAACGAGGAACAGGGATTATGATGTCACCATCGATATCTATGTTTGCTTTCCTTTCAGATCTTTCAACGAAATCTAAGAAGTGCTCATAAGGTTTCATGTCTAGTTTAAAGAGAGCCCCTTGCATTTTGTCCGTGAATGGAAGGAGATAGGATAGTCCTACCACTTCTTTACGTAATTTCAGCAAGTTGTCCATTAAAGTCTCCTTTAGATCATCTATTTGAGCACGAGTTAAGTAATCTCTGAAAAATTCAGCATCTTCTATGATCACTTTCTGGGCGTAGACAACTCCTAATAAAGTGAAGACTTCCTTGGTCTTTTGGTCTCCACTAAAATTTTCCAAAAACTCTATGTAATTTTGAAGGAGGAACCTGTCAAAATATGCAAACGTCATCGGGTATGTATTGAAAGCCAAAAGCTTATCCCAAGCTTCTATTTTATCTTCAGCAAAATTTAGCTTCATGCCGGTTTGATGGATCAGAGTGGATGCTCTGTAAGTTAATAACTCCAGCAAGTTCATGACATCATCTAGAGATTTTGAGTAAGGCTCAGCTTCAGGCATCTCTGTAGTCAGGAAGTCAAATGTAGGCATTACAGGTTTCTCCATAAATAAGTATTGAAGATTCTGGAGGATTAGTTTTCCTGCTTGCTGCATCAATATGTTATTGTCTCCTTCCCAAGTTCTATTCAAGTCCATAACAGCGAGAACTTGACCGAATCCATTATAACTTGAATAACCAAGGCCTCCCAATGCTTGCCTTGATTCGCTGCATGTATCAAAAGTTGTCCAAGTAAATACAGACTTGGCAACAGATGATATCAAATGAGCGAAGCTAGTCATTTTGTTCTCAGCTCCAAGTCCTCCTTCCAAATATTGGTTCCAAAATTCAGTGATTTTAGACATCCCAACATGCTGAATAAAATGTCTAGCAAACTTTGTGATCAGTCTAAAATGATTGATCCTGTAGTCAATAAGTCTAGTCTCAAGTTTAGTTTTTGGACTTTTGAATTGTTTCCTCACTGCCCAATATCTAAGAGCTCCTGATGATACTCCGAGAGCACAATCATTGCTAACCTGTGAGATAGCAATTCTTCCTCCACTCAGGCCTCCAAGCTGCACAGCCATCCTCTTTGCTTTTGAGGTTATTTTAGAGGTATAGACACCATCTGGGCTAATATCTGCAAACTTGTTCAGCAAAGCTTTCTTCCCAGCTCTAAAATTATCGAACATGATCCATCCGTTGTCAATTCCTTGCATCCCTATCTTGTCGCCTCAGTCTCCGATAGTTACTCCATAGAGTGGCTCATGGGTCTCAGGATCTCTGATCTGAATCAGGAATCCATGAATTCCATGTCTAACTCCATTAATAATCAACTGGGCGAACACCACAGCCTTTGTAGCTGTGCTAGCCAAGTTTCCGATCCAAAACTTTCTAGATGTCTCTGTTGGGGAGTTGAAGATAAATTGGTTGGTAATCTGGTCAAAGTGAGCAGTCGTTTCAAGCTTACTAACGTCAGACCCATGGCCAAGCTCAGTCAAGCAGAAGCATCCAAACTCTTCAAGCGTAGCTGCCTTCATTAATGCATCTTTGTGGGTTTCAGTGCCCATATTTTTGAGGCTCTTTAAATAAAGCCCTATTTGCACTGCAAACTTAGTGCTTATTTCGCCTCCAAAGAAGCTAATTCCCATTGTGCATCTATTCAGGAGATCTGGGTCTTCAATTACTTTCTCTGGCGTAAAGATTCCTTTCTCATAGAACTTCATAAGGATTTTCTTTACCCAATAATTCGTCTTATATCTCATAGCCGCTCTTGACTTTTCTTTAAAATTATTGTGTTTCATCATAGAGTCAACAAGTTCAATGACTTGATGGTGTACTTCTGGTCTGAGCCCTCTCACAACTTTAGCTGCAAGTTCAAAGTCAAAGGTGCATCCATCAAGCTCCCTGTTGAAGTCTTCGGATGGTCTAAAGTGCTTCTTGAGCAATGAAATTCTTTTGATAGCTTTTTCTCTGTTATTTAGCATTTTTACAAAAAATGATTAAATTTACCTCTAACGTCAGCAATAATTAAATGATTATTTCACTCACCAATAAATGCATTCCAGTAGGGGTTTTGGGGTTTTGGGGTTTTGGGGTTTTGGGGTTTTGGGGTTTTGGGG